AATGCTGCTCAATGTAAAAGCACGCACGTTATGGAGATTTACCGCTGATTACAGAACCGGCTTTCTGACAAGATGCGCGTTAAATATCGCATGCGATTTATCGTGCAGCCCTAGCACCGACTCTTTGTTCAGCTGGTGCTGATAAAGTCACAAGCTGTTAAGGCAATAACGTTACACAAAACCTAACATTACTTCAGATACAAATGATTAAGCATGGATTTTATTCAAACAGCGACTGGATTTAAAACATTTATTGTCGAGAAATATTAACAAACACCACAGCTTGTACGTTAGTACAAAAGAAAAGAAAGAACACAGGGCGCCTTACCGGACAACTTCGGTAGACATCGCCTCCTCGCCCGCGGCGCTTCAACACACCGCCGAGCTTTTAGCACAATTAACAGCAGCGACGGTTTTCGGATATCGGCATAAAACTCACAAATTTTCGATTTCCGCAAAAATTCAACCAGTTTCACCCGCCATCTTCCCAGTGGAACTTGCGCCAGACAGCTTAAAATGGCGCACCGGAAACTGCGTCCTGTTCGTGACTGACGTAAAGTGATGGCGTCATTACTACATCGGATTCCGTCATAACAGCAGAGACGACTGCTGCTGGGCAACAACATGTCAGCTTTATTTGAGCACGGAGATGCAAACAGGGTTTTTACATTCAGATCACAGTAATTATAAAGAATATACATTTTGTTATTTTTCTGTATATATTATTGTGCACATGCGAAAGCGAATATATATGAACCCAACATGTTACAAGGACAGTTTATCAATACATATTTTGACTTGTCAACAGCATTTGTCTTGGGTAAGGACGCCATATTAAATTTTTTCACAAAAGAAAACAAGGCTCTGGGGTGGATGTGCAATACAGTTTGTTATTAATAAAAAGTTTCCACAAATAGGCTAACAAACAGAAGTTTGAAACATTTTAAATAAAACATGCATCCAATAAATATACAGTTAGAACAATTAAACGTTTTGCTCAATGCGTTATAATAATAAACTTTTTCATGTCATGTTTTAATTTAATACCCTACATATAATAGTTTGGAGAATGGATGGATGAATTTGGATTTTATTTCAGCATCATTTCAATTAGTGAAAATAACAAATTTAACAGTTTTGGTTAACAATAACAACACTGATGGTATATATGTCGAAGGACTACACTACAGCATCCCTCATAGCCTCATTTTCATTTAAAGGGATAGTTCACCCAAAAATGGAAATTCTGTCATTAATTACTCACCCTCATGTTGTTCCAAACCTGTAAGACCTTCGTTCATCTTCGGAACACAAATGAAGATATTTTTTGATGGAATCTGAGAGCTCTCTGTCCCTCCATAGACAGCAACGCAACTGTAATGTTCCCAGACAGAAACGTAGCAAGGACATCGATAAAACAGTCCATGTGACATCAGTGGCTCAACTTCAGTTTTGCGAAGCTACGAGAATACTTTTTAAGCGCAAAGAAAACAAAAAGAACAATTTATTCAACAACTCTTCTCCCCACGAGTTACGTCTTCTGCCATTTTAGAGAGTATCACAATGTATACGCACGCTTTCCCCTAAGCGTAAACAACGCTGATTACGCAGTTTACGTTCATGCACGCGCTTTCTCCTCCGAACGGTGACATCAGTGGCTCAACTTCAGTTTTGCGAAGCTACGAGAATACTTTTTAAGCGCAAAGAAAACAAAAAGAACAATTTATTCAACAACTCTTCTCCCCACGAGTTACGTCTTCTCCCCACTTTTCTTTGCGCATAAAAAGTATTCTCGTAGCTTCGCAAAACTGAAGTTGAGTCACTGATGTCACATGGACTGTTTTATCGATGTCCTTGTTACGTTTCTGGACCTGGGAACATTACAGTTGCGTTGCTGTCTATGCAGGGTCTGAGAGCTCTCACATTTCATCAAAAATATCTTAATTTGTGTTCTGAAGATGAACGAAGGTCTTACGGGTTTGGAACAACATGAGGGTGAGTAATTAATGACAGAATTTTCATTTTGGGGTGAACTAACCCTTTAAGGAAAATTAAATATGGTGTCTTCCTTTAAAAAAAAAAACATTAAAGGCAATACTTGGAAAAACCAAGTCTAAAACCAGTCTAAAAGCTGGAGGCTGTTGGAATGTGTTTGAAGAAGCAAATGTCTGTAAATGTGAATTTGTGTACAGAAATAAAATCCTGTGACATAGAGGCACACAATCTTCATGATGCGGATGCACACATCTATGTAGTCGAGTTGGCTCGTGGCGAGTTACCATTACTCTCAGAGTCCATCTCTTGATCTGAAACAAGCCCAAGGCCTGTATGACACAGCTGTCTCTCAAGCGCTGTGATTCTTTGCTTCAGTCTGCTTTGAGTGGCTGTGAACTCCCCGAGCAACCGTGCAAAACGTGCTTGCAGAACATCCAGTGAGCTCTCCAGACGTTCAACCTTCTTGTCAGTATCTATGACGAGCAACCCTCCCTGTGCGGTGCTTTCATCCAGAAGCCCTTGCTTCCTCAGAATCTCCCTTCCACGCTCCTCCAAAACCTTCTGTGCTTCTGGGTATTCGGTTACGGCCTCCATAAGGTCGTCCTTTGAAAGGCAGAAGAGGTCAGAGTAGCCGATGCTGCGAATGTTAGCTGTCCGCCGGTTTCCCATTTTACTGCCCTGAATGTTAAGAATGCTAATCTCGCCAAAGCAACCCCCAGCCGTTAGCAATGCAAACTGTGTCACTCCATCATCAGCAACAACTGCTAATTTTCCCTCTTTAATGATATACATCTCTTTTCCAATGTCTCCTTTTCGGCAGATGTAGTCGCCAGGACTGTACACTTGGGGGCGCAGCTTTAAAACCAGTTCTACTAACAGCCCGGCCTCACAATCTTGAAAGATGCGCACTTTCTTTAGAGTAGATAAATGAACATTGATAGCAATTTCTGCACGTAGCTTGTCTGGAAGATTCTTTAAGACTTCCTGTTCATCCACTGCTTTCTGATTCGTCCACAGGAAGTCGAACCATTTGATGACACGTGTCTCAAGATGGCGACTGACTTTGCGGAAGTGCATGTAATGTTTAATAGCATCAATCCGTGCCTGGAACTCTGCCCGTGTGGCGTTCATATTGGAAATCATGGAACCCACGTTACCCACAATGGTGGCAAAAATCAGGACTCCGACAAGAAAATCGAACACCACAAACACATATTCCTCGTCCCGTACGGGTGGTGGCATCTCACCGATGGTGGTGAGTGTCAGTGTGGACCAGTAGAAGCAGTATATGTAGCTCCGCCTCAGAGCTCCTTCCTCTGTGGATGAGATGTTGGGATAAACCCACTGATCTGACCCAAAACCTAGAGACTTCGAGATGGCATAGAAGATGCAGGCATTCCAGTGGATGATAACCAGAATGTAGAGAACCAAGTTCCAGATGCGGAAGATGTTTGGGTAGTTGGTTCTCGTCTCCGTCCGATTAAAGAACTCGAACATACGAGAGAAGCGCAAGAGGCGGTTGAAGCGTAGCTGTGGTGTGTTGATGCCCAAGATGATGTACGCCAGGTCTGTGGGGAGGATGGAGATAACGTCCAGTTTGAACTGAAAGGTATGAATGTAGATGTCTCTGAGTTTCGCCAAGTCCTTCACCAGAAGTCCTTGCTCCAGGTAACCTGGGAGGGCATCAAATTCTTTATGAGAGGCAATGCCACAACACAAAGAATACAAAAATCTATCTGCACATTGGTCATGTTGTTTGAGTCAATATATTCAATAAATTGTCTCTCATGTAATTTTTATTGTACAATAATAAACAAAAATGTCCATAGGATGAATCTTAATTTCATGCCAGACATGAACTAGCCCAACAAAATGCAATTTGTTTTACATGACTTTGCTTGAATAGGAAAATGGACAACTTTGTAAATGCATACAAAATATTAGAAGTGTGATCTCATGGAACAAACACTGAGTCAAATGTTGTACTATTAGCCACATTTATGCTGCCTTCACATGCTATCGGAATTATCGTAAATACAAGTTTCGAAAATTAGACGTGAATGCCTCTCAAGTCATATTTACTACTGGGAGATCATTTTGATACCAGAGTTTCCGAGTTGGGCGGGCCTTAAACTTTAAACATGGTGGAGGGGACAACCATTGCTGCTGCCAATGCTATTCTTTATTAGTTTTTTCCACAACAACTACATCGCTTTGTCTTGTCATTAAAGTAGTGTATTTATAGGTTATATATGAACAATCATTAAAAGCATATTGTATGTTTTATAAACAGTGAAATAAGCATGTATTTGACCAAAATTCCAGAATCGTCAGCAAGCTGACTATCTATAGCGCGGTGAATGTTCACATGATTGTTAACCAGTGGGATGCTATATTTTATTATTTCTGACAACAAAGCACTTGAATGCGACAAGCTCGTAATCATGACTTCATAAGTGGGAAATAGCATATTTCCAATAGCACATGAAGGCAGCATAATTTACAGGTGAACTAGTGGCAAAATACTGATTTTAAAAGTTTTGATTTGATGCGCAGCCTTTGATGTCAAAAACAAAAGATTTGGGAAGGGTTGTCTTTTAAAAGTTTTAATTATTTTAAAATATTCACAATTAGTTATACAACCAACAAAATGCAACTTGTATAGTTAGCTGCATTTTATTTGTGTTCAGCACTGATTTTTCCTTGTATTCCTGTAGCTCATACAGTCGAGCATGGCACTAGCAACACCAAGGTTATGGGTTCAATTCCCAGTGAATGCATTAACTGATCAAATGTATAACTGCAATTTATTACATTTCCTGCCCAATTCAATGCAATACAAGATCTTGCAATGATAATATGAAGCCTGATTTCCTAAATAATGTTTCTGTAATGAGTTACTAAATGAATCTAATTATTGGGATTGTGTGGTATAAATCAGGAATTTTGAGTATGTGTGTATATAGCCTACCCGTCCTTAGCCGCATACATGAATCCAGTATGTAGACAAAGTCACACAAATAGTCAAACACCAGCCAGACAACAGGATTCTCAGTCTGCAGCTGATCAAAACATGCTCTGTACACACAGAGGAAGAAGGAGAAAGAACATGAGATCCATAACTACTGTACATAGATAACCAGCACATACACACATCTGTACAGTTAGTCAAGCAGGGGTCTCAGAGGGCTGTTCTGTTTGTGTAAGGCTGACAGGCGTAACAAAAGAGCCTTGCAACATTGTAGCAATTAGTTACGCCAGAAAACAAACACTCCAACACAGGGGACTGTGCTCTCTTCATGGTTTATTAAGTGCACATTAATAAAGGGTAATGATGAATATGTAAAGGAGAACGACTAGGTGAAAAGTCGCACCTTGCCACAAGCAGTACCCAGTTATAAAGCACAGCAGCAGCGATGAAGAACAGCCAGTAGTAGTAAATATCATCAGAGGGAGAAACTATAAATGTCTCCCATTGCTTCCTGTGAAACAACACAAATTTGCAATGCAAGTTATCAAATTTATTTCCGACTAT